GAGGGTGCAGGGAATACTTTATGGCGGTGTAGCGTGTCGCGTTTGCCGTGGGTGTTTGGTCATCGCGGCTGTCTGTCCGGCTAATGCGATGGGCAGCCGAGTGGGTGGAGTGTCGATGGATGGTGGTCAAAGAAACGAAAGCAGGGGAAGGCTGCGGCGATTCGATTGGAAACAGATGGAAGCCGGTGTTTCGAACACGGGCTGGGCATTTGAATGGGAAATGAGGAACCCCGCGTGACACTGGGTAATGTTGTTCTTCGACTGGTGACGTGGGTCACGTCCAGTGTAAATATCGGTCACGCGTGTCAAATTGTCAAAGCACGATTGAAATTAAAAATACCGAACGGAAGATATTTTTGTATATCTTCCAACCCCTTGCGCTACGATTTAATTACAAAGAATTACAAAGGGCAGTGGATTGGAGGTTTGTTCAATTCTGTGTAGCCATTTTATATTTATTCCGTCGAGCGAAAATGTGGTAGATATAGCGCGAATAACTCGCATTGTATTTAAATATTTTGAAAGAAAGGGTTCGGTTTGATTAGAATACGTTTACCCCGAGAATATTTTGCCAGAGTGCATCCCGGTACTCGGGCTTTTGATCTATAATTGATTTTGCGAGAAACAGGACGCGCAGCGATGAAACTAGGTGAAAAATTGATTAAACTGGTTACCCGTACGACCCGCCTGCTTTCATGTTTCACTTTTATTCCTATAGCCCGCTGGCTGTCTCAATTATCATTCCCGTGTAGGTCACTGTGGAGAACGAATTAATAAATCGACATATTATCAGAGCTAAATCCAATAAGATCACGTGTGATCGTGAATACGTAAACGTAAATGACACAATGAATCGGGACCTTTTCAATCGTGAATTTTCCAAGACAGTGTCAAATGACAACGATCAAGGCGCAGAAGAAAGTTAGACCTCTGCAGACAGGGGTGGCTGGTCCGAAGAATGAGAGTGCACACGTATGATCGTGAATATATAAACATACATGACAAAATGAATCGGGACTTTTTCAATCATAAATATTTCCAAAACACTGTCAAATGACAACGGTCAGGGTGTAAAGGATAGTTAGGCTCCTGCAGACAGGGCTGGCTGGTTCAAAGAACGAGAGTGCTCACGTATGATCGTGAATACGTAAACGAAAATGACACAATGAATCGGGACTTTTCCAATCGCGAATTTCCCAAGACACTGTCAGATGACAACTGTCAGGGCGCAGAGGAAAGTTAGGTCTCTGCAGACAGGGGCAACTAGTTCAAAGAACGAGAGTACTCGCATATGATCGTGAATACGTAAATGTAAATGACACAATGAATCGGAACCTTGTCAATCACGAATATTTCCAAGACACTGTCAAATGACAACGGTTAGGGTGTAAAGGAAAGTTAGGCCTCTGCAAACAGAGCTGGCTGGTTCGAAGAACGAGGATGCTCACGTATGATCGTGAATACGTAAATGTAAATGACACAATGAATCGGAACCTTGTCAATCACGAATATTTCCAAGACACTGTCAAATGACAACGGTCAGGGTGTAAAGGAAAGTTAGGCCTCTGCAGACAGGGGCGGCTGGTTCAAAGGACGTGAGTGCTCGCGAGACGAAGAGAGCCTGCGGTAAAATAGCCGGGAAAATTAGAAAAGCCGCAACAAGGCGCAGTGATCCGGGTTCCTTAATGACAAAGCTGCTCGGCCGTATCGTTTCTGAGATTGTTCGTTCATCTAGCCCCTCGCCCGCTACGCCCGGCCCTATCTCCGTTTCCCTCTCGGCATCTGTAATCTGGGTTACTCTACAATTAAGGTCAGGACGGTGGAGCAGCGCTGGAAATAAGACAGCGCCGGAACAGAGATTGCGCTCGACGATGAAACCATGCACCGGCGTGCATACGCGCGAGCGTCCCGATCTCCAAGATCCCGATGCACCCGACAGCGATGAAATGATCTATCGGTTGAACCGTGCACGGAACGTCTCGCCGACTCTGTCCAGACTAACTGGCTCCGAGAATTCTAGCGATAAGAGCCCATGTTGTGTACGCGGAGAGAGGTCCGAGCTTGGAAAGCTGATTTCAACGATGCACCTATCGAAATTGGTTCCTAGTTTCGGGGCTTTTATTTTTAATATAAGATATTAGGATTCGAGTGGTGACTAGTATTTTCGTGGCACTAGTGGCGATGCGAGGTCGAATTGACTCGATATCGATGGTGGTGAAGCGATGTCGAATTGACTGCCTACCGATAGTGGTGACTTGACGTCGAATTGATTGCCTATCGATAGTGGTATTTGGATATCGAATTGACTACCTATCTATAGTGATGACTCGACGTCCAATCGACTCTCTATCGATAGTGGTATCTTGATATTAAATTGACTCCCTACCGATAGTGGTGACTCAACGTTGAATTGACTCCCTATTGAAAATGGTGACTCGATGTTGAATTGATTCCCTACTGATAGTGGTGACTCGACGGTGAATTAATTCTCTATTGATAGTGGTGACTCGACGTCGAATCGACTCTCTATCTATAGTCATACCTTGATATTAAACTGACTCCCTATCAATAGTGGTGACTCGACATGGCATTGACTCCCTATCTATAGTGATGACTAGAAATCGAATCGACTCCCTATCGACAGTGGTACCTAGATATTGAATTGACGTATCCTTAGATGGAGTTATATTCTACATGTATTAAGACGCTATAATTTGTTACTTGACTTCAAGTCACCACTATTGATGCAGAGTCAATTTGACTTCAAATCACCACCATTGATACGGAGTCAATCCGACGTACTTATTGTACATCACCACTACTTGTCAACTTAACTCATGTCACCACTGTGAGATTAAACCGAATAAATTAACAAGTTAATCCGTTCAGCTTCGAGCTGACAATTGTCACAAAGATATTTGAAACAAACGAGGAATTTGCATTTGATATATTGCTCGACGGCCACGCGAGTACCTCGTATTCCATATTCGGTACATCTACGACACGTGCGAGTAATCGAATAGCGCAACTTCAGTCCCGAGCAACTTCGAAGAAAGGAAACTCAGGAACTTACGCGTACCTCTCTTTGTATTCGGGTGATTTGTAAAGAATAGGAAGCCTTGTTGACGAAGAAAGAACGTTGCAAGAAAAATATAAAACGCATGGAAACATCCACGTTTCCCTAACTTTCTACTCGTATATATAAAAATTTACTAGCACGTACCGTTTCGCAAGAATAATTATTCGAATTAGGTACATAGTCCGCAATTTTCTGCCAATTTTAAATACACCTTTCGTAAATAAGGAGTCATTTCTTTCACCAAATTCTCATTTTCATCCCATCTTCGGTATTTGCACTTTCTTTCACAGTAGAGAAGAGGCATGGGACACTTGCTTTTCCAAAAAACGCACAAAATAAACGAACATACAAACTCGTGATTCCCTATACTCTCTTACTGCTCTACTTCAAACGATACAGGAGAATAGCCACTCCTTGCACATGTGGCGAAGAAACAAGAACACGGACTTGAACCCAAACTCCGGATTCCACGGAGACCCCGAATCGTAAATCAGGGACGAAAGTTTCGATGGAAATAACGTAGAAATAAAGGGTGGCGACGGGGCGCGATAAATCAGGGATTAAAAGGGTGTCGCACCTGTTCGACGCACGCGGAGGAAACCAAACCCCCATATCTCACTCTCAGGTCTCTCCTGACGTCCGTCATTTAATTTCAATCCGAGGTTCTGATTTGACTTTCATAGATATTCAGATGGTCCTGGGCCAGCGAGAGCTCGATCGATTGCAGATTTCGCGTTGCACACGGCTCTATCCATCTTCGTATACGATCTCTGTTACAAACTTGTCTCTGTAGAAATATCGATTCGCGATCTCTGGTCGATCGCGTTCGCGCGCAATAAAATGTCTCTCTCGCGATCGATAAAATTTAACAGCGCTATATTATAATATATATATATATATCGTGTATGTATATGTATATGTATATAATTAGTAGAAACGAACCCTTTGCGGTTTAGACCAGCTAAATGCCAACATCGGGCGGCTATAGAATACTCTTAACTCTCGACTGATAACATATCGTATCGCGATTTAACTTAATTTACTCTTAATTTCATTCAGCGAACTTCAAACTCCATTTTACGTCTCTCGCAGTATCCATTCTTCTCTTCCTCTTCTTTCTCCTCTTCTCGTTCCTCCTCTTCTTCTGCTAGGCTACAGCTCTGCCTAATTTACAATGGCGTGTGTCCGTAGAATTCGTGTGTCTGTGTGTATGAATATGATCGCGCGTGTGTTCGTGTGTGTGTGTGTGTGTTTCGATTACTTTAAAACGTAGCTACGTAAGTAGTTTACGGGTACAACTCCTTAAACTCCGGCTCTCGTTATTTTTCTATCGGCCATCCCGATGGCCAGGGAACAACATCCCCGACACGCGTGGTTGATAACGAGGATCGAATCGTTTTGTTATTTTTAACACGATTTTTAACGCGTCAAACACCACATCGGTCCCTAGAGACCGGCGATAGGCTTTCCGTCCAGGCCTCGCCGGTTGGTACGGCCCTGAAGGGCCCGCATGACGGCTAACTGTGGCGTAAAACCATCGAAATTTTTGATCGATCGTCACGCGATTTCGGGGTTGTTCTTCCACGATCGTCGAGGGAACGCTTACAGAACGGTTAAAAAGAACTGTTCCTCTAAGGCACCCTACGAGGGTGCACAGGGTGCGGCTGTCAGGGATTTAGCGTACAAAATTCTTAACGAAATTTCGGCTCGTTACTCGGTTAAATATCTCTAGAATCTCTTTTCTCGTTTAACGTTTTATTTATTTATTTATTTATTTTTCTTTAATTCCTAAGAGTTCCTGTCTTCTCATGCTGCTTCGATTTTTTGGTACGTTAAGCTCGTAACCACTTGTTCTCTGTATCGTTTCGCGAGTGGTCTTCACGAAGCTTGGTCAGAGCTCTCCTCCGGCGCATTACAGATATCGCGAGAAATCGTCGACAAGATCGCTTTGAAATTATCTTCGAAATTATCTCCACCCTTCTCTTCCTTCCTCTTTTAATTCGTTGGTAAGTAAAATCGTCGACGATCAGGCAGCTCGATTTTCATCGAAATCTTTTGATTGGCCGTGCCGGTTTGTCCTTTTTGATTAGAGTTGCAAGCCTGGCAGTGCCCATATATGTATAATTAATTAACACAGGGAGCAAACGTCGTTCCATCGCGATTCTCGCTTCTTGGGGCGAGTTGCATCGTCTCTGGATAATCGATAGCGAGTTTCATCGCGTGGGAACCAAGTCTGCCCCCGAAATCTTACAGTCTAACGTTATCTACGTTACTCTTAAGCTAGTTCCGATCTCTACGAGTTCGTCTCGCGGGAAAGAAACGGTTAATCCGTACGAGGTTCGAGGGTCCTCTTCGCGAGGCTGAGTATCGGTAAACGGAATGCTAATTATCGAAGCAACGTTCTCGGCTACGAAAGCTTTGGATGACGGCGACGTTTAGTGGTCGCTCGACTGTCGAAATTAGAAATCGTTCGATACGACGTCGTAGAAACGGAATTACGACGAAATTATATTATCGCGAACGGTATAAGCGTCTGGGAAGAAGCTTGAACGGATGCGAGGAAAGATAATGATCAGAAATTTCTCTGCAAGCAAGGATCAATCGTAATTATAGCATTTCTCCAGCTTTTTCGGGGGACATTCTACCGTGGAAATGCAAGTCTTAATCGCAGACGGTGTATCGATGATATTTTTAAACTGTTTCTCCTCGAGGATACGAAATTCTGTTTTACGAGTTCTCTAGATATTTATGTTGGATCGTTTTTAGGTGGATTGACTTAACCTTTTGAGTATAGTCACTAGCCACAAAAATTGAATGTATTAAAAAATTAAGACAAGTGCTACCGCTCCTCTTAGCTCTGGGGACTCCTTGAGGACTGACGTAGCACTCAACGCGTTAACAATTATTCTATCCTCTTTTATACTCAGTTTTCCTTTCTCAATCGTGCCCTTTTCCACGCAACCTCGGTGGGTCAGGTACTTCAACCACTCTGGACACATCCCTAAACATTCACTCGACTCTACCATAAATATTCTTTGCAGTCAATTCTCTTGCACACGGTCACTTTCATTCTAAGCACAGTCACTCTTGACATTCTTTTAGGGACTTATTTATTCCAACTTATATATCCTACATATATTCAAAATCTATATTAACCATTACCACAACTATCGCAATAGTTTTCAAATCTGTGAATTTTCTAATCCGTGATTAGGCTCAATTCTTCAATCGAAATATATCGTACATACTCTGTGCTCGTATAATCAAAATTCGCGTAATAGACGATGTACTGCATACATTTTCAGGAATTGCAAGCCAGAATAACAGAGAAGCATAATTATTTTGTAATTTGCATAAACTTTTGCCGAACATCGTAAATATCATGAACATTCTTTGCAGTCGATTCTCTTGCTCGCAGTCACTTTCGTTCTAAGTCCAAACACTCTTAATATTCTTTCAGGACCGTACTCGTTCCTTTCCTGCATTTATATTCCCATTTTTCCGTATAAATATTCATTTCTATATTTTATTCCATCGAGAGAGTCTGCTCAACGGGACAATTTCAATCGAAGTGTCTAAGGTTCGTAGAATAGGGTCGCAATATTGCAGATGACGAATCGTTTGAGCATCGTAAAATTTCCTGATCCCTATCGATAAATTAATTCTTCTCCTATCGAGGAAGTTGAAGAAGAAACGAAGAATCGCGTCTGTCGATGGAGAAGATCGCAAAGCGAAATCGAGTCCTCGTCGTGGATTTATAGTTGGTCGAATGGGTTTAATTAAAGGTAGAGAACAGGATCGAAGTTTGATCCATGCGTCGTATGCAAAACAGATTCCGTGAGGCTGATTGCCCGCTCGCTGAAAAATATATTGCCGTGCAACCCGGCCAAACGTTTCCACCCTTGAGCCATGCTAGAAGATTGATTTTTAGCATTACGTTTCGACGTTAAAGAATGCGAGGGACACGGAATTAGTTCCGTTTCGCGCCTGTTCCTTCGCTATTCGTCCACGTAAGTCGTTCCTCATCCTCCCGACGCTTTTTTCACTCGATATTAGGAAATTCCGAACGTCTCCTTGGTTCCTGTAAACTCCGTGTTCCTCCAAGAAAAAGGGTTCGCGACGAACCTCTCGTTATTTGCGAAAGAGGATTTCCATATAATTCTAGCCAATTAAATATCGACACATGACGGAGTACCGAATTAATTTTATAATGGATTTGAAATTGAGAAAAATATTAAAATTTGTGGGATAATTTTAGAAATAATATCGGTAAAATAAATAACGATAAAATAAAAATAAAATAAATGAAATACGTAAAATGAATGTGATTTAAATTAATATCACTTAGATTCGAAATTATATTTTAAATATTCTTGGAATGAAAAATTCTGTAAATTGGAAAAATTATTTAACATCCCAAAATTTGTTGATTCTACGATTTATGGTTTACGGTATATGTTTATGGTGAATTTTGATCGAATTTTTGATTAGTCGATAGCTTAGTCGATTTTTATCAGATTTCGTGGGAAGCTGTGTATTTCGTGGCTTCCCCGCGAATCGATTCTGTTTTTCCCCGAATTATATCGCGATATAATGGGCATATTGCGTAATTAGAGGCAATTTGCATGGTTAACGAGTACCGCGCGGACAATCGGACCGAAAAACTGATTAATGCAGTTAGACCCATAGTAACGTAATTATGGTTCTGATAAACGATACTATGGGTGTAAATTGGCCGACGTTGACCAACCAACTAATAAACTAAACGAGCATGCGACTGTAATTAACCAATCGTAAACGCGTTCAACGAGAATCGTATTTTATGACATCGAGTACGTACGAATAGTGTTGGCGAAACGTTTAGGTTAATTTTAAACGAATTTAACGCGTTATTAACTAAACATAATGTCTCCTGTAAGTCTAATCCTGTCTATTGACCTGTCAATTATTTGGAATCGCTCTTTATCAATTTCCCTGAAGAAATAAAAATATTTCCTTCGCTTTTTAAATATTCATAGACTTCGTTTAGAGATAATTTAATTTCCCGGTTTAATTTCGCTTCTTCTTAAAAATTATAATCCACGTATTTAAGATCTTCTTATGAAATTCTCGCGAAAATGTGCTATGGACTTTTCCAGATCCTTTAATACGCGACGATGCTTTTTAGACCTTTTAATACGGAACACTATGGAAATTTTTTAACATTATCTCTCTTTGATAACTTTCATCAATTCTACTTTGCTTTTTCGTTTAATGTGCACTCTACTGGTAATTGAACAACTCGTGAAACAAAGTTCAGACACTATGTAGTCGATATCAGGGAACGGTGGAAAATCTCGCGTAAAAGAAATTTTATAAAATTCGAAGCGAACAATAATCGAATAATTTCCTATTTGTGATCGATGTTTAACGAAAATTTTTCCAACTATCGTTACCTCCACGAAGAGATATAAATTTATCAAATACCCCACAGAGAATAATATTTTCCTACGATATTTCCTGACTCGAGGTCTAAATATTCCACTGAAACTCAACGACAGAACTTTTCCATTAATCTAACGAAATCAAATTGGCCGCGTCATCGTCGAACATTTTCCGATTACGAGTGAAACGAGCTTCGAGAGACCTTCGTTTCGAATTATACGGCAGCACGTGTTCACCAGTGTAGCAGCCACGGCTATACAAATTATTTGCATGCCAGGACGAATTTCAGTGGCTCCAAAAACCTGGCCGTTGAACAGAAAGAAGCACGCGAACTCGCGAACCTAGCAGGCATAAATGTCAGCGGAGCGAAGGAGTAAGGAAGAGAAGGAAAAGGAGAACATAAAGGAGAACACGAAGGATCGTTCTATGTCGTTGCTATTAACAATTGCAGAAACCTCGCCAACGATTTTCCCGGTTGTAAAAATTAAGCTTTATGCTTCTCTTAATAAGATTCCGAGACGCGTGACGGTAATTGGAGATGAGCCGTTGGACTCCGAAAATACATCGTTACCAATCACGGTTTAGCATAAATAATCCATTAAATGACAAAATTTTTCCAAACTCTGCAATCGCTTCGCATCACAAATTTATGGAGTCTAAATGAAATTGTGAAACGTAAAACTGCAGTTATTTAAAAATTCACGAAACACAGAGGGACGAGAACGTTCGGATATCTAGTGAAATTTAATTTCAGATTTAAACTCGAGATTAATTCTTAAGCACGGCTTTTTTAATTTTACCTCAAAGTGGGAAATTAAAGAGAAATTATTCCGAGGATTTCCACGAATCACCCGCAGTCTCGATACGTAGTTTAAAGAGAATAAAACCGTCCTCGTGAACTAGATCAGCGGGTCTAACGTGATCGATGACAGACACTAGTCCAAGTTTCCCCTAGCCCGATAAACCCAGCCGAAAATCGGAAGCAGGTTTAATCGTTCTGGAAGTTCGGCTTGATTACCACGTTATCGGCCACCGATTCGTTCGATAGACGCGTTGTGCAGTTTAAGAGACTAGGATTGAGATCTCTGAGCGAAGATCCTCGAACAGTTGAAGGAATTTCGTGCAACATCCATAAATCAGTAGTACGAAAACGTATAAATCGGTGCTCAACGTTTGTGCATAAAAATTTGAATTTTCGTGTCACGTGAACTTGAAATACGAACCGAAAATAATAAAAATTAAACAAAATCCTTTAACCCTTTGTACTCGAGAGGCGCCCTTCAGCCGCTATTCGATAAAATTTCGAAGATCGATATTAATTAATAAGTCAAATTTAAGATAAGATAAGAAAATTTAAGATAATCGAAGTGTACGTGTAATTATTAATAAATAATTCTACGTGTTAATTATTACACGATTTCTTATTTACTGCTCAAATAAATATCGTCAGTTTTATAGCAGAAAATCTTTGAACTCCTATTTTTCTTTAGCCAAAAAATCGTCGAATGCAAAGGGTTGAATATTTTCTCAAAGTACGAATTGAAATTTTATTTGACAGTCGACCCACTTTCGTTGCAGACAAAATATGATAACGAAAAAATTGTACGTTATTTGAAATATTTATTAAATATTTGCGTCACTGTTAAAATGGAGTTGAAAAAGCGTTTGCTCATCTC